TTCTACGTGAAGGATCCGAGGGATCTCCTATTTTACACCTGAGACTTCTGGAACCGTTTGAAACATTTGAGGAAGATGAAGAGAAATTGAAACAAGTTGTTGACTATGTGAGTAGGTCTTCAATATGTTATACTGTTGTATTGCCCTTTTTGTTGTAACTGTTTGGCTTTCAGTAATAAATTCTTATTTCTTTGTTTTTGGTTTATGAATTTTAGGCTCTGAAGAATGGAGTAGCTCTTACTGTTGCAAGGTATCTAAAAAATGAGGAAAAATTTCTGCCACCTCCAAGGTAGGGTTCCACCCCATATGGCTTACCCTTAAGCCCTTAAGATTGACAAGCATCTAATTTCTCGTAAGAGCATAGAGCCCTTGAATCAAGCATTAAGGTCCTAAGAATAAAGGAAATGATCGCAAAGCCAAGAAACTCTTGATTATTAAGCCAGTTCTCCTTTAAGTACCATGAAAAAAGTATAGAGAACAGTATGTACTGGGTTCTGACAATAACTTTTGAAGAAATGCTCATACTAAGAATTAGTGAAAATCCACTAGAATTCCATGTTAAATGCAGTAATCTGATTGGCTGCACTGCTCACTGTTTATTTAAACAAGTGTGTTTCTGTTGAGGAACTATCGGCTGATAGTTGCCCCGCAGAAGTTTGATGTTCTTAAAACAAATATGCAAGTTTTAAGAACATCAAATTTCTAAGGGGCAACTATTTAAACAATAGAGTGTTTCTGTCTCGGAACTATCAGCTGATAGTTGCCCTGCGGAAATTTGATGTTCTTAAAACAAATATTTGCCCTCGAAGGGTCGCTTCTCGAGCAAATATTCTAGTTTTAAGAACATCAAATTTCCAAGGGGCAACTATCAGACCGATAGTTCCGAGACATAAACACTCTATTGTTTTTATTGTTCACCACTAAATTTTCTTCTGCGCCTACAGCTTGTCACAAATGTCAATAATTCCCAACCGTACATTGGCTAAATAATACGTTATACCTGTCAGAATTGAAAAGTCACTGTTTTTCTGATCTGCCTAACTTTGTGGCCGTCAAACTATTCAAAACTTTTCACGGGTGACTACTATCAATCCAGGTATTTTCCGTGGATGGGCACTATCCATCCGGGTATTTTCTGCGGGCAGGCACTATGGGCTGATAGTGTCTCTCCACGGATGAACACTATCGCGTCACGTGATCGATTTAAACCAATAAGAAATGGAGAAAATTTAGTGGTGAACTATAATATGTAAGAGATTGTGAGTGAGGTGAGTAGCTGTGTCATGACCTTTTTCTATCATGATTTAATAACAGCAATAGTGGATTTGTGCCAAATCAATGAGACTTACCTCTCTCAAAATAATTCTCTGCATGATAGTGGATTTGTACTTTAGCCAAGAATTCTTGAGCTTGTTGTCAAGAAATCCTCAGCTGTGAGGATGTGAAGTTAATGATTTTTGACTAAAGATTCCAAATAGTGCAAGTTAACCATTTTACTCCCAAAATCTCATTAGTAATTCTTCTTACCATCTGCTTTTCAACTCTTACAGTGTTCGTTTGGAGAATTTGGTACTGGATGAACTAATAATCCCCTAATTGATATCTTTCTCTATTCTCGTCTCTTGTTTGCTTGAAATTGTCTTGATATTCCATTGATATTGTAAGGAGAAATTTTGTCTTGGTCACTCATGGGAGTTAAAGGATAAAAGTCTGTACTTGAGCCAAGTGACCCACTCAGCTGAAGCTTCTCCCAGTTTCCATAGCACAAAGTGACTAGGAGTCACGCTACTCCCCTGGATGGGAGGCTAATCCATTGCAAGGTTACCCCCCCTGGAACTTTATCAGGCTTCTCTGACAATTTGTAGGTACCTATTGATATTCCTATGGGAGACATGGTGGCCTCATGGTTGGTGCACTCAACTCCAAATTGAGTGGTCCAGGTTCGAGCCCTGGCTAGGGACATTGTGATGTGTTCTTAGGCAAGACACTTTACTATCACAGTGCCTCTCTTCTCTCAGGTGATTAAATTGGTAGGAGGGAATTTAATGCTGGGGGGTAACCCTCTAATGGACTAGCATCGCATATATCCCATCCAGGGGGGGAGTAGAAATCTCAGTCACTTCATGCTATGAAAAATGGAGTTAAGTGCTGACCTGATGGGCCACTTAGCTCATAAATTAACAAATGGTAAACACCACAGCGTACGCTATTGAGTTATAGATGCACGCAGGAGGTTGCTAAGCACGAAAGAAACGTAAGAGTCGCTCGAGGCGATAGCCGAGAGCGACTCTAGCTTCTTGAGTGCTTAGCAAACCTCCCAAGTGCATTCATAACTCAATAGTGTACGCTGTGGTGTTTACCATTTGTTTATAACATAACATTGATACATTGTAGAGTTCCCTTTTATTAAACAAATCTTACGTGACCAGAAAAAACAAGCGCGCGCGGAAAAATAGTCTTTGTATTTGCACACGTACACCCAGGGGAAAATGGAGGACGCTAAATTGACCAATCAGAGCGGGCGCTTTACTTTGGTTATGTTATAAATGTTTTTAAAACTCATTGAAAAACTTTATCGGAAGGGCTATAAGTTTGAAATAAACGTTTGGAAATAGGTCGTAGTATTTTCAACTACAAGCACACTTTCATCGTGGTAAATGATCCGTGTAAAGCGATGTTTAAAACGGTATAAAGCGGTTTAAAGTAGTATGAAGTGGTTTCAAACCCTAAGAAGTAAATAAAACTAGAAACTGTATTTCAAATACGATAAAGCTACCCAAAACTTTGGAAATAACTCTGAATTCCATTAAAAGATGTGAAGGGGTAAAAGACTTACTTCCGTATCTGTGTTAGGGATTTTACAACTTTGATGCTGTACCTTAGAGATGCTTGATATTAACGCTATGAAAAGCCACCCTGAACTGAAATTTTTCCCAAATGACGCCTATGAATAGCTATACTTCGTGGTACAAAGAACTACTGAGCACTAGAAAAGATTGAGAACATCACAGATAATAATATTAACATTTTCAATGCGTGACAAAAAAAATATTTCGTAATTTAGACCACAGGAAATCGGAAATATTTATATCAAAGAAACTCCGATAGACACGAAACTTAACACAAAATGACGAAAGGAAATACAAAACTGAAAAACTATTTGGCATTAACAGTATCGGTGCAATATCACGGAGCATAGCATCCTTTCCAAAATATCATTCGTTCTTC